TTACAAAAAATGTACTAAAGTGCAAAATGTTGTCTGGAAAAATTTGGTTGTTGAAACATTTTTCTTTGGAGGATTTTTTCTTTAGAGGAATTTTCCTATATAAAAATGTCACTGTAGTCAAAATTTTCCAAATATGTAAAATTTCTTCTCAATTAACCATTAACCTCACTAAATTCGTACACAACGGGATATACGTAGTAAATATTTCATATTACGTATGAGTGATATCAATACGTATACGCACCTATATCTATGGTGAATAAAACTGGGAAAATAGGGGAATATATATGTGTATATTCACTTCATAGATAAATGTCCTTTCAGAAAAATATTCGCTAACAAAAGTTTCCTTACAAAAATTCGCTGAAGTGCAAAATGGTCTATGGGAAAATTTCGCTGTTCAAACATTTTCCCTTGAAGAATGTAAACTGTTAGAAGATTTTTTCTGTATAAAATGCTCACTGCAGCGAGAATTTTCCAAATATGTGCGATTTCTCCTCTATTTACCAATAATCTCAATAAATTCGTACACAAAAAAACTGAATTGAAGGGTTATACAAAATATTGTAAAAACCCTTAAAATATAGACAAAACATCTGAGGCATATGTCATGCCTCCTCTGGCTTACCTGAGTGTTAAAATTGCTTCCTTCTTATAAAAAAAATGAATTTTCACACCAAGGGGAAGGGACATATTCAGGGTCATATTTCAAAATACGTATAACTGATGTCAACTACAAATTAATAATATTTATTTTCCTGCAGAAAAATGTCACAAAAGTGAAAGTATTCTAATGGAAAATGTTCACTGAAGTGAGAATTTTTCTTGGGAGAATTTTCTATTCAATTAAGTTGGAACTTAGGGTATACTCCAGTAGTAAATGTTCATGTCAGATTTTTTTTTAAAAAATCCCTTAAATGTATAGAAATATAGAATATAGAAAAGACCTCCGATTTTCTGGAGAATATCTCCTCCATATCTAAACCTCCTCCGGCTTACCTGAGTGTTAAATTAGGACAAGCTTCCTTCTTATAGAAATAAATTAAATTTTCATACCAAACGAAAGGGACATAGGGTCATAGTTCAAAATACGTATAATTGATGTCAACACGTATACGCACCATCTCTTCAAATTAATAATATTTATTTTCCTGCAGAAAAATGTCACAAAAGTGAAAGTATTCTAATGGAAATTTTTCACTGTAGTGAGAATTTTTCTTGGGAGAATTTTCTATTCAATTAAGTTCCAAATTCTTTTATGAAATTGTCACTGACTAGGGTATACTCCAGTAGTAAATGTTCATGGCGAGAGAATGTTTTACGGAAAAAATATTCAGTGAAGTGAGTTTTTTTTTCAAAAAATCCCTTAAATATAGACAAGTCCTCTCATGACTTATCTAGCTTATCTGAGTATTAAAATTGGACATGCTGCCTTCGTATAGAAAGAAATTCATAATCATACGTATAATTGATGTCAACACGTATACGCACTATCACTACAACCTAATAATGAGATATATAATTTTTTTTGTAGAAAAAATTCGCAGAAGTGAACATTCGAAAATATATGAAATTTTCTATTTTACAATGTACCCTATAATAAAAAAATAGAAATTTAACATAGTTATATTTTTATACATAATTTTATTAATAGTTTTTGGGATTTTTTAAATGTTTTTATATTTTTTTCAAGGGATATATATATATATGAATATTTCCTATTACGTATAAGTGATGACAACAAGTATACGCACCATAGTTGTAAATGCGGAACCGGGGAAAGGGGAAAATACATTTCTATTCTTGAAGAAATTATAGAAAATGTTTACTTCATAGATAAATTGTCTTAAGATAATGTTCACTACGTAGAAATATTCCATACAAAAAGGAATCACCTTTTGACAAATTTCATTACTGAAACGATTTTCTTTGGAGAACTTAAACTGTTACAAGAATTTTTTTATATAAAATGCTCACAATAGTCAGAATTTTTCAAATAATTTGCATTTATCCTCAATTAACAATTATTATTACTGGAATTGAGGGGACATACGTGAATATTTCATATTACGTATAAGTGATGTCAGCACGTATACGCACCACAACTATAAATGATTTAAACAAGGTAAACGGTTCACTTTTTAGTTAAATTCTGTTAAGAAAATATTCACTAACGTTAGAATTTTCTTACAAAAAATTCACTTTGCTTAATTTCCTTTTGAAAAATGTCACTACTGAAACATTTTTCTTTGGGGGATGCCAATTGTTAGAAGTATTTTCCTATATAACATTTTCTTTGCAGTGAGAATTTTCTAGATATTTTTACTCTATCCTCAATTTTATTTAAAATCAATTAAAAGCAAAATGCTAATAAAGTCGTGGGAAAAATACAATAGTCCGAATTTAAAATATTGGTAATTATGTTATGATATGTATGATTTATAATGAATAAAACATCACCGACTCAAATTGATTCCAACATAATATTTTTTTGTATTTTATTGGGAAAAATATTCCTGAAACGCCTTAAGTTGAGCTGCATTAATTTTCGCTTTGTTATTTTTTGGCATAACAATTTTTTTTAAATCTGCCTCTACATTTTTTCCCAAAAAATTAGCATCCGCTAAAATAACAAAAAATCAAAACAGTAACAACAATTATCATTAGCATTTGCCCAGATATATATTTTCGTGCGGGTATATATTTTTTCCGCAGCTAAACATATTTGCATTAATTCAATTTTTTGCTGCTGCTATTGTTATCGTTTTCGATTTTTGTTATTGTTTATTTATGCATGATTTTTTCCGAGGTTGCAATTTCTGAATTGTTTTATTGGGATTTTTGTTTATTTTCTTGTCGAATGTCTAATTTCTTTTGATGTGATCTATTAGCTGTGAGACAGTAGATTTTTTATGTGAATGGTAAGTTGAGTTAAAAGAGAAAATATTAATAATTGGATGGGTGACGTATACATAATGACAATACGTCTACGCCCTTCAGTGTTAAGTTGGCGTATACGTGATGACAATACGTATACGACATAATTTGTGAAAATGTTTAATATGAAAATTCGAATTCTATTGAACATTCTAACTTCAGGAAACTGAATTTAGGTAAATTTTTTTAAAAATTCCAAATTCAGTGATTTTTTTAATTTCAGTGAAAAAATTCTATAGGAAAATTACAACCTCCGCTCAAACTGGCACCAAGAAATTATTCATAATTGAATGAACATTATGATGGGTGGCGTATACATAATGGCGATACGTATGCGCCCTTCAGCGTTAAGTTGGCGTATACGTGATGACAATACGTATACGGCATAATTTGTGAAAATGTTTTATAGGAAAATTCGAACTCCCTTAAACATTTTCTATACAAAAAAATCTAACTTCAGGAATCTGCAAAAATCCTCAGTTCATTTTTTTTTTAAATTCAAATTTCAGTGATTTTTATACCCTCCACCATAGTATGGAGTGTATATTAATTATGTCATTCCGTTTGTAACTCATCGAAATATTCATTTCCGACCCTATATACTTTATATGTATATTCTTGATCAGGGTAAAATTCTAAGACGATATCTTCTGAAGGAATTAAGATACGGTGCTGACATTTTGCATGGGGTTGTCTTTTGTCTGCAGGCAGGTCAAGTTCGAAGATGGGATATGTCGGTCCATGTTTAGGCATAGCTCCCATATAAGGGTACCCCCAAATTTCGGTATTTTGGGGTTCTTGAGCGCGTTTTTCAGCCGTATTCGCTGAAATTTGGTACATTGAGTTCTTATTGTGTACTAAATATCTCCACAAAAAATTATAAGTGTAGGTCCACTTTTTCTGGTAGCCCCCATATAACGGTACCTCCTAATTTTCAGTATTTAGTATTTTGAGTTCTTAATAGGTACCAAATCTCGCCACAAAAAATATGAATATAGGTCAATTTTTTCGGGTAGCCCCCATATGAGGATACACCCCAAATGTTGGGGTTCTTGAGCGCGTTTTTCAGCCGAATTCGCTGAAATTTGGTAGATTGGGTTCTTATTGGTTACTAAATATCTCCACAAAAATTGTAAATATAGGCCCACTATTTCTGGTAGCCCCCATAACGATACCTATTAATTTTCAGTATTTTGGGGGGTTTGGTCGTATTTTTCCACCGAATTTGCTGTAGTTTAGTATTTTGAGTTCTTAATACGTACCAAATCTCTCCACAAAAAATTATGAATATATGTCCGTTTTTTCGGGTAGCCCCCATATAAGGGTACGCCCAATATTCGGTATTTTAGGGTTCTAGAGCGCGTTTCTCAACCGAATTCGCTGCAATTTGATATTTTGTAGTCGTATATGGTAACAAAAATCCCTACTAAAAATTATTAATATTCGCTCCCCTTTTGGCGTAGTCCCCATATAATCCTCTTTTTTATATTAAAATAGTTATCTGATTTGTTTTGCGTTTGGTTCTAAGACTCTGTATGAACTATAGCCCGGATTTAGGCCTAGGCCTAGCCCCTGTGTGGGACGTACCAGAAGAAGTGGACTCATATGTCTCATCTTCGAACTTGAACAAAGTTTGGAATAAATAATTAGTTAGGCAAAGTTTGGATGAAATCAAAATTTTTTGAAATAGATTTGGTCCAAAAAAAAACGTGGGGTCTAGAACCAATATCAAGTACCTGTCAGTATATCTATGGTGGAGGATATCCAAAGTTCGGCCCGGCCGAACTTAACGCTTTTTCACTTGTTTTAATTTCAATTTCAGTGAAAATTTTCTATAAGAAAATTCCAACCTCAGGTCAAATTTTCTATAGGAAAATGTATGTATTCAGACCTTGCTGTTAGCTATAAAATATTCAGTGTTGGAAAAAGGGAAATCAAAGGCCAAAAATTGTCATTCCCCTTCACATTTACATTCCATACCAATAATGTCAAAATTTAACTTCAAAAATACAAAAGGAACAACAATAAATTAATAACGAAAATATTTTCAAGAAATCTTGCAAATGCCTCAATCAAGTTCTTCGGTATCAAGCCTGGAGAACCGCAACGAAGAAATAGTAATTCGTCAAATTTTCTATCATTCTCCCGAAGGCCAAGCCATATCCGATGAAGATATTTTCCGAGAAGAAAATTTACAACACAACATCAGTCGTCATGAAATGCGTATTGGTGGTGGGGCAGAGCTAAGTGAGACCTCGGAAGAACATCTTTCGTTGAATGAAGAACCCGAAGAGGAACCATATCGTCTAAAACCCATATCACCTTTGCAAAAAAATTTAAGGACCTTTATACGTTATCTCACACAATTGCTGCTGATAATTTGTTGGCTGGTGTTTACCTATTATTTGATGAACTATCCGGAACGGGAGAGGGAAATGGTGTTATTAAGTGTGCCTGCGAAGGAGGGGGTGATATATGAATTGCCCAAGGATTTAAAGGGTTTCGGATTGGTGGTGAATTTGCGAGGACCTTTTGCGAGGGAGAGCTTTAGAGAAAATGCTTTGCAATTTGCGGATCATCAGAAGCCCTTCTTGAGTTTACTGTTACAGGAAACCATGACTGATTTGAATCCCCTCAAAAATATATCCCAAGTGTATAATTTGCTGATCAAGGAAAATTCCTTGGATATAAAAGAAATGGAAAAAGTGTTGGATTTCTATGGCAGCACCAGAAAATATCAGCTCTTATTCTTTAGCAATTCCTTAGAAATAATTGCCCTGGAATTATTTGCAGCCCCTGTGTACGCTCCCAAAACCTCAATCATCATCTGGGGACTTATACTTTTTGCTATAATTTATTTTGTAATGACCTCGGATTTATTACACCACACCTTTGCTGCCATTATCTGCAGTTCCCTGGCCACTGGCATTGTGGCTGCCGTCCATATCCGACCCTCTCTGGAAGAGGTATTCCATAGCATTGAATTCGATGTGATCATGGCATTTTTTGGCATCTCTCTTATCATGGAAATTTTGGCTGAGACGGGACTGCAAGACTATCTAGCGGCCTGGAGTTATGAAATGGCCAATGGTCACATATGGCCTTTGCTGAATGTTTTATTTCTCACCTCTATGGGACTGGCTCTCATATTCGATGACCTCAGTTTGATTTTGTTTCTCACACCCATTTGCCTACGGCTTTGTGAAATAATGCATTTAAATTGTGCGCCGGTACTAAGCTGTCTTATCATTGCCATTAATTTAGGTTGCTCCCTAACGCCATCGAGTTCCATTACGAATTATCTCATCTATCACCACCAAGACCTAGACCCGAAAATCTCCTCATCTGGATCCTTTATGCTACACATGTTACCCGCTTCATTGCTAACCTTGCTGCAATCCTACATCCATCTACGTCTGCAATTTCTCAACTCCGCCCAAATTGGCACCAAAGAACCCCTGCAGGTTGAGAGATTAAAACGTCTGACTCGTGTGTGGCGTAAAGTTTCCGATCGTATGGGTGCCTATTCGCTGGATGAACGTTCGGCCAAAGATACTGTGGATACACGCATTAGGAGTTTAAGAAAACGTCTGAAGCGTTTGGGCAGAATGCCGGAGCCACCCTCGGGTTTCAAAGAGAAAGTTTTGAAGTTACGGCAAAATTTCCACATCAAGAAGCTGCCACTTCTCACAGCCTGCCTTGCAGCTATTTTTGTGCGGTTTTTCTTCACAATTTTGAATGGAAGTTTTAATTCGATTGCAATATCTCTGGGCTGGGTATCGATCTTGGCAGCTCTGTTATGCTTCAGCCTCTGCAATTATGAGGACTTGGAAGGAGTTTTGGGACGCATTGATTGGGCCTCGATGCTGTTTATTTCCGCCCTATTTATTATTATAAATATGCTGGGGAAACTGGGCCTGCCCGAAGCCATTGGTTTAATGATGGAACAAACATTAGAGGGTTTGGAAAACAAATATCGCCTAACAGTTGCAATTTTATCCATACTCGGAATCTCCTCCGGTCTCAGCCTTTTTCTAAGCAATGTGAGTCTGATCAATATACTGCTACCTATCATTGCAACCTTAGCCAGGAATGAGCAACTGAATTTACCTCTAATGCCTTTGGTGTGGTCTTTGGCATTGGGTTGCAGCTTGGGCGCCAATGCTAGCCTTGTGTCGGGCGTAGTTAATATTGCCTGTGCCGGAGTTGCCTCTAAGCACGGCTATTCTATAACGTATTTGGATTATTTTAGAATCGGGTTTCCTATAATTTTGGGAAATATTGTAATGGCCTTGGGGTATTTGTTGCTGGCTCACGTGGCGTGCCAATGGCATTGAGGTGTTCAAATCAAAAATATTTATTGTGAATTTTTTTTAAGAATAAATATTGAAAATTATTACAAATAAAAAATATGGATAATAATTTTTTAGAAAAAATTAAAATTAGGAAAATTTTACAATAAGAAAAATATATCGAATCTGAAATTTTTCCGAGCAAAATTTCCTACACAGGAAATGTATTTTTTAGGAAAATGTACAACTCAGAAAATATGTCACTTCAGTGAATGTTTTCTATCGGAAAATTCCCACTTTAAAATTTTGTATAAGAAAATTTCTGTAAGAAGAAATTTTCTATAAGAAAATTTACACTTGAGTGTACCACAGTGTGGTGAATGGAGGGCAGTGGGAATTTTCTTATAGAAAATTTTCACTGAAGTGGGAATTTTCCTATCGAAAATTTTCACTGAAGTGGGAATTTTCCTATAGACCTTTTGCGAGGGAGAGCTTTAGAGAAAATGCTTTGCAATCTGTGGACCATCAGAAGCCTTTCCTAAGTTATGTGTTACAGGAAACCAAGACTGTTTTGAATCCCCTCAAAAATATATCTCAAGTGTATCATTTGCTGATCAAGGAAAATTCTATGGACCTAGAAGAAATGGAAAAAGTGTTGGATTTCTATGGGAACCCCAGAAAATATCAGCTCTTATTCTTTAGCAATTCCTTAGAAATAATTGCCCTGGAATTATTTGCAGGTCGTGTACACTCCCAAAACCTCAATCATCATCTGGGGATTTATACTTTTATAGAAAATTTTCACTGAAGTGGGAATTTTCCTATAGAAAATTTTCACTGAAGTGGGAATTTTCCTATAGAAAATTTTCACTGAAGTGGGAATTTTCCTATAGAAAATTTTCACTGAAGTGGGAATTTTCCTATAGAAAATTTTCACTGAAGTGGGAATTTTCCTATAGAAAATTTTCACTGAAGTGGGAATTTTCCTATAGAAAATTTTCACTGAAGTGGGAATTTTCCTATAGAAAATTTTCACTGAAGTGGGAATTTTCCTATAGAAAATTTTCACTGAAGTAAGAATTTTCCTATAGAAAATTTTCACTGAAGTGGGAATTTTCCTATAGAAAATTTTCACTGAAGTGGGAATTTTCCTATAGAAAATTTTCACTGAAGTGGGAATTTTCCTATAGAAAATTTTCACTGAAGTGGGAATTTTCCTATAGAAAATTTTCACTGAAGTGGGAATTTTCCTATAGAAAATTTTCACTGAAGTGGGAATTTTCCTATAGAAAATTTTCACTGAAGTGGGAATTTTCCTATAGAAAATTTTCACTGAAGTGGGAATTTTCCTATAGAAAATTTTCACTGAAGTGGGAATTTTCCTATAGAAAATTTTCACTGAAGTGGGAATTTTCCTATAGAAAATTTTCACTGAAGTGGGAATTTTCCTATAGAAAATTTTCACTGAAGTGGGAATTTTCCTATAGAAAATTTTCACTGAAGTGGGAATTTTTCTATAGAAAAATTGGGAATTTTCCTGTAGAAAATTTTCACTGAAGTGGGAATTTTCCTATAGAAAATTTTCACTGAAGTGGGAATTTTCCTGTAGAAAATTTTCACTGAAGGTGGAATTTTCCTATAGAAAATTTCACTAAAGAGTGAATTTTCTTATAAAAATTTCATTTAGAAAATTTTTATAAGAAAATTCCGTCTGCCTGTCTGTCCATGTCAAATTGTAAACACAGTACAGCTGGCATTTATGATCCGAATTTGATGAAAGTTGGCATAGGTCACTTATTTGGCCCAAGGATGAACCCTATTGAAATTGGGAAAAATCTGTTCAGATTTAGATATAGCTCCCATATATAGTTTCGTCCGATTTTAAGTAAATGGTGCACCAATGTCCCTATATATCATTCGACTTGCACGAAATTTGGCACAGGGCACTGAATTAAGTCTAGAATGGTGTGTGCTAAGTTTCGTAGAAATCGGTTCAGATTTAGATATAGCTCCCATGTATATTTTCATCCGATTTTATGTAAATGGTGCACCAATGTCCCCATATATCATTTGATTTGCACGAAATTTGGCACAGCGCAATGAATTAAGTCTGGAATGATGTGTGCTAAGTTTCGTGAAAATCGGTCCAGATTTAGATATAGCTCTCATATATATTTTCATCCGATTTTATGTAAATGGTTCCCCAAAGTCCCCATATATCATTCGATTTGCACGAAATTTGGCATAACGTACTAAATTGAGTCTAGAATGATGTGTGTAAAGTTTCGTGAAAATCGGTTCAGATTTAGATATAGCTCCCATATATATTTTCATTCGATTTAATGTAAATGGTGGACCAAAATCTCTATATATCCCTCGATTTGAACGAAATTTGGCACAGCGTAATGAATTAGGTCTAGAATGATGTGTGTTAAGTTTCCTGAAAATCGGTTCAGATTTAGATATAGCTTCCATATCTGACCAAATGAAAAATTTAGTATCGGTTGCAGAATGACAAGTTTATGGATCCAATTTCATTTTATTGGTCGTTTAAAAATGCGACGTCTGTTATGATACATCTGTTGAATATACTCAAATTGGTGAAGGGTATCATATAGTAGGCCTCGTCCGACTTTACTATTTTCCTTACTGGTTCTAATTGTGTTCTAAATCCTTTATACCCCCCTTAAAAAATAAATATCAATAACAATCCTTCGAACCAATTACCATTTTTATTAATGTCGTATAAAATTTATTTTTATTGAATAAAATTGTCAATTTCCTGCTAATATCGTTTAATGAAGTTTTTCCCTTCTTTTTTGAACTTTTGCTATCCTTTATGACCTTTATAGCCCCTAACGCACATGTTGATTAGCACAATAATAGAGGTAGGCAACAGCAATAATAATAAGACTGGAACTGTTATAAAAGGTGTGACAAACAAAGTTGTTGGCAGGTATTTTTTTTTGTTCCCAACTTAGGCAAGTAACATAAGGTGGGTCGGAATATATGCTAACACTTACATTTTTGACTTAAAAAAATATTTGTTAATAAATCCACGCCCTATGGAGCCTTGAGAAAATATTTTTTAGTAAATCCACGTCCTATGGAGCCGTGAGAAAATATTTTTTAGTAAATCCACGTCCTATGGAGCCTTGAGAAAATATTTTTTAATTAATCCACGCCCTATGGAGTCTTGAGAAAATATTTTTTAAGAAATCCACGCCCTATGGAGCCTTGAAAAAATATGTGAATAAATCCACGGCTTATGTAGCCTTGAGAAAATATTTTTTAATAAATAAAAATACTTTCTGGAAAATCCACACCTAATTGGCATGTTTCCTGAAAGTGACCTCCCTTACTATTTACACACATGCCCTAGAAAAAAAGTTATTTTCCTGTCACCCTATTGGTATCCTTTTTCTTCTTCTTGTAGTTTTTTGATATTCTATAAACAAGGAGTTTTGCTGTTTGCTTTGTGAATACTAATATAAAGGGATTAACTTTTCACAGCTTTGCGTTTTTTCTTCTCTTTTTTGTATTCATTCTCACCTTCATTGGCTGCTTATTTAGCTGAGGCTAAGACAAAATTTTCGTGATAAACGAACAAAGGCGAAATATTTAATTGATGTCAAAGAAGCTGAAAAGAGATTTCAGATATTGTTTTTATCCAATAATCCGCCGGTACACATACACACACATATATGCCTATCTGGTGTATGTGTGAAATTGGGTGGGTGTGGGAGTGGCAATGTATGGAAAAAGTCAATGTTTTCTTTATTGCTTAAACTCTGGGTGACATTTTAAGGTAAATAATTAAAAAAAAAAGAAAAATACGAAGAGACAGTGATACTGCAAATAATAAGAATTTATGTGCGGATTATAATTGTATTACCCTGGCTAGGTGATGTGTGTGATGATTTTGGGCAGGGGCGGGGTTGAGACATTTAAAGGGAAATATTCATAAATTAATTTTTAAATTTTTTAGAGAAGAAATTTGGTTTTCTTTTTGAAAATAAAATCTTGAAAGATCTAGAAAGGATCTAGAAAGAACCCAAAAACTACGCCCATGCTTGCGGTGTGACATTTGATATGTTGGAAAATATAATTAATGATTTGTGTTTTTTTTAATTTAATTCGATTTTTTTTATTATCCTGTGAACATACCACAGGATACTGGCATACTGCTGTGATTAATCCTCTACTAAGTTTCGTTCCATTTTTTTTATTTTCTCTTTGTTGAAAACAGATTTTTTATATAAAAAAAATAATTTCCGATTTCATGCACGTTTTCATATTCAACACCTAAGCCTTTATTTACATATCAAAAATCTCATCAAGTCCACACTTCACAATCAGGGAAAAAATACCCCAACCTTCAGTGCATTCCCAAATATTATTTTACAATTGCTGTTCCGAACAGATGATGAATCTCTTCATCATCAATAAAACTAAAAAAATATATAAACCAAACCAAAAGTGGACCACAATTGTTCACAGAATATTATATTTTATGACTGTATGTATACATCTGTGAGTGTGTGTATGTGTGTCTGTCTGTTGTTATTGCCCCATCCATCAATTTGCGTCCTGCATTCGGCCACTCAATTCCATACACCAGCAATGTGATGACAATTGGTGAATATTTAATCAAATGGATGCGGTTTTGACTGAATAGAATTGTTTTTAACTTTTCGACATGGTATATAACCTAAAAATATATACATAACCAAACAATTCGAATGTTGTTGAATTATAACCTGAACTAACATTAAGGGAGAGTATTCGGGTGTAACGGAATGAAAATAGAAAAAAATATTTTTTACCCTACACAACTATGTTGTCAGGGTATTATTGGTCCTAGAACCCCTTAAATATAGCGGTCGTCATATCTCGACTAGCTGAGTCGATCTAGACATGTGTGTCCGTCCGTCCGTACATT